ATATCCAAAGGAATATTCCTTGTGTCCATATCTGAACCTACCCTAACGTTATTTCTCCACTTCAGTTGTTCGTCCTCGACATCAGCCCTCTCGAAAACGACTTCCAGCTATTACACCACGGCCGACCCCGTCCTTGGTCCCGTTTATCTACTTGTACCAAGTCGCCAAATTCATACCAACACACTACCAGACCTTAGATGCTTTCTACTAGCACTGGACACTCTTCTAAGCGCCAGATTCTTATCATATTCGACCTAATAATTCTACAACTATGAACACATTTGGGCGTCAGTCGTCACACATTGTTTAGGATGAAGGGCCATAATAATGATAACTGACACTTCGTGAACAGGGAAGCCGAAAAGAAAGCCTAGAAAAGTGCTGTAAAATTGCAGAACCAATAGGAAGGTGACACGTGTGAAACGCATTAAATGGAAGTGACAATTGAAGTGTCAATTCTGTCACAGCATTAATGGAGACAAAAATTCCCGTTTTAATGAAATCTACTTCCCAAATATTCAACTGATGAATAAATGGCAAGTGTGGGGACTATCTGTATTAGGAAAAATTGAGTTTACATATTGTGAAGATGACGTGTCATGACACGTAGGCTGGTCAAATAGTCAAAGAGTTACAGTTAGCCAAAAGGCACGAGTAGTAATAGATGCGAGCGAAAGCAAAGGAAGAGGCACGGGCGGTTATCTAAAGGATCTAACACCCGCACCTATCCCAGAAATTTAAGTTCAATAATCAAGAAGAGTCAAGGGAATGAATTTGACAGCATACAAGGGTCCAAATACAGTATTTAATAAGCATTAAATGCTAAAAACGTTAGAGAATCTGCCTTAAATGTAATGATTATGTAACGTAGCATTCAATGTCATTTATTGCCCACAATAACCTTATTATGACCAAAGCAAGGCACTTACATCTGAGATAGCTATAAAAGGAGAAGACTGAACAATTGTAGGGGGACGAAAAATCATCTGAATATACTTTGGTTTACTTGCTTTATTCAATTATATTCTGGCTATTCAAATTACTCTCTTTTATATATTCTTGCGATTATCAGTAACACGTGTTCTTCTAAATTATAGCTTTAGTCAAAATTTCATTTTTTGGTTAAACAAGAGGTATGCAATATAAAAGTCAAAAAGCAATGGTAAACTATATTGATTCCAGAATGTAAATCAAGAACATATGAAACTTCAGCAATTACACAAAGGCGCTCCTATAATGTACACTACATTCGTGTAGTAAATGAGCTATAGTGAACGGAAAACAAAGGAAAATGAAATGAAAAAGAAAGGAACTTCAAATTGAATGAGTACAACGTGAAAGCGAAAGCAAATAATAGGGGGGAAAGAACAGAATTAATGAAACCAACTGGGCTGCAAGCTAATAACCTGAACTAGGCTCTCAATTGTAATAGTAAATGTTAAAGTGGGTTTAAGTATAGAAATCAAATTGATCAAATTTGCAATATCAAGCCTGTGGATACATAACTCATCCAAAATAAATTGTTCAACGTGGATTAAGTGGGTACAAAAGTACTATATATCATTTCCCTCTCTGTAGAGATTAGTGATATTGTTGTAAAAGTTAACATTTCACTAATGCAACATGGGCAGTTCTGAATTGGACCTCTGGAATTCTCAAAACGACGTTGGATTTGCAAATTAAACTTTCAGGTCCTTCTGTTTGCTTTTTGTTCTCAAAATAGTATCAACATCCCAAACTCGAACAGCTTGGAATCAACTAGTTGTTCTCAAAATAGTGCGCATGAAAAAAAAAGAATTTTTTGAAGAATAGAGGAATTGACTTATCCTTGAACAAAATGGCAGAGGTAAGAAATGAGGTATGTCTTGAGACTAAAACAACATTATTCACAAGTTGACATTGTAGCTAGGTAAGAAAGACATTTTTTTTTATATTCGAACTTAAATCTTAAATTTTCCATGTTGACATTTTTTTATATTTATACAGTTGTTATAAGCCACAAATTCTTATATTCTATCTTTTTTTCTTAATTTTCACGTAAGATCATCAAATACCCCCCCATGAAATTAAAACTGTATTTATTAATCTATGAAAAAAGTAGGTGTGAGTACATTTTAGCCGTATCTTTTTTATGGTAAACTTGCTGGTGATATAGAATCGTTCAGTTATTAAGAGTTCACCAACCCCCGTGAAGGCCCACATCGACTTTGTTCCAAAGTCCATACCAATTAGTCGACAAAATAGCATGGTATAGCTAGTTTTCGGACTGGTCATTTAAAAATAGCCAGTATTTATCAAGTCAATAAAAAATAGCCACTATTTTGCTGCAACAGAGACCGGTCCAACATAATATATTGGAGTTCGGTGCACCTGTGTATGAACTCCAACATATTATGCTGGACCGGTATACTTTGCTGGCTCCGGTGCTTCAAACTCCAGTATATTATGCTGGACCGGTATACTTGCTAGAACTCCAGTATATTATACTGGAGTTCTAGTTTACTTATGCTGGAACTCCATCATATTATGGTGGAGTTCCAGCATACTTATCTTGGAACTCCAATATAATATGCTGGAGTTCAAGTATACTTATACTGGAACTGCAGCATAATATACTGGCGTATTTTCCGGGTTTTGAACAGTGTTTTTGCTCAAATTTATCTTTACATGAAAAGTAGCTAAATTTCGATTACTTTTGAAACTGGACTATTTTTGAGCGATCAGTTATAAATATGACTATTTTTAAATTTCACCCCAATTAGTCGAATCTGCAGAAACAAAAAAAATGATGGATTGTCGATGTTGGACCTCCACTCCTACACGAAAAAATTAACCACTATACTTGCTTATTGTAAGGATTTTCTCCATTACTGGCCCACTTTGTCACTTTGCTCCCTTATCTTTTGCGCAAAAAAGAGTTGGTAACATTTAGACACTTCAACAAAGTTTTAGGTCACCATCTCACCAACTCTCTCCGCCATATCACCCCCGCCTTTTCTGACGCTCATATCCACCACCTTTTGCTTCCATTATTTATTTTTTGGTTGGATTTGAGATTCCAATTATTTCGTGTTTCTTAGCCTGATAGATCAAGTTTATTTTGGCTAAAAGTGTTTTTTTTTACCAAAAATATTTTTGTCAAAATTAAAGTATTTGGTTAAACTTTTAGAAGGAAAAAATGAACTGAGAGTATAAGCAAAAGAAGCAGAAAATAATAGTCTTCCCAAAAGTACTTTTTGGGTAAGCACTTTTGAGAAAAACATAATTTTTGAAACACTTTAAAAAATCTTTGTTAAACAATAATTGTTGTTCAAGAGTGTTTTTTAAATTCTTTAGCTAAATACAAACGGCTTCTTACCAAAATTACATTTTAAAAAATAAACTTTTAAAAAAAATACCTTTCAAAATAAGCTGAGTTTAGAAGCCTTNTCCTAGAAAAGGCAGTCAAGAGCAATACAAAAAAAGAGAAGCTTCAGTTTTTTGCTACTCACATTTGATAGACGAAAAGGAGAAATTGGATACCCATATAACTAGAGATTTAGAAAATCATTCAAGTAAATATGCAAAAACTGATTTCTAAGGGAAGCCTAAATCAGTGTTTCTAAGATACCAAACTAAGACGAATTCAGAAATGGGATATGAAACACTGACCTTAGTGCAATGCTCTGCCGGAAAAATATAATAGAAAACTGAGTCTTGACGGGCTCAGCCATGGGGCCATGAGCCGTGAGGCGGAGAACTGGTGAGGGCTTGAGCCGTGTCCGGTGGCGGAGTGGCGGAGAACTGGTGAGGCGTGAGGAGTGAGGACTGAGGGTGAGGGTGACAGGGAGTGAGGCAGAGAAAGAACTGAGAAAGAGAAATTGAACCATGTATATGAAACCCAAGTATGTATATACTTAGGGGTAAACTAGTAAATTAGTAAACCCTTATTGGGTTATCGGTTTACCCAATAACAGAATTGCTAAACCGCGTTCGAATCGATAACCCAATAAAAAAAAATTTTTACCCGTTACCGAATCGTTAACCCAATAACCCAATACCGATAACCCAATAAGTAATTAACAATTCGGGTTATCGATTTTACCCGATATATGCCCACCCCTGGAAGCAGTTGCAACAAGCTAGCAAAGGAAAACAGTTAGACAAAATAGTCTACCAACAATTGAAAGTAACTCATTTGAAAAGGGAAAAAAAAAGCGAATTAGAAGTGAAATTATAGTTTTTTACACAAAACTATAATATTTTCTACTTATTTAGAAGCGGGAGATAGCAGCTCTTCGTCGTCCTCTCAAGGGTATTTAAGAAATTTTGTTTAGAGATATTCTTAGTTTGACCTGGAAAACCTGCGGTGCTTTGATAGTCATCTCCCTCCTTTGCAGACACGTGGTTTATAGATTACCTGCGATCTCCTGCTTCCGCCAGCGTCTTCCCCGTTGATTTGTAGATAACTATCTCGAAGCGTGTTTGATGATTCCCCTCGTTGTTGAAGAATGGATTTTGAGTCAAAGTTCTATAAAGTTACACGAAGGTTAATTTTACAGAGACAGAGGCTATTTCGAATTCCCTAGGTAATCTTACTGATGCTCTATCTCTTCTCATTTTTCTCTTCTCTTGTCATTTTACCTTTGAAGTGTGTCTATTTATGTCTGGTTGGGTTCAAATTTGATCATTGGAAGGTTGTGGTGTTATCGGTGGCTGAAAAGGGGAAATAGAGTGCTTCTTCCATGTCAGTAGGTGTGTTCTTTAACCATAGTCTGGTTTACTGTATGATGAATAGAAGAAATGTTATCTTTTGGTTTTCAATGTATTGCTAAAGAAAGAGATAGGTTTGGTGTTATTTGTTGGCAGAGTTTGGACACTAAAGGAGAATGATATGTAGTGTAAATTTTGCTTTCGATTTTTTCTTGTATTTCTTTGTCAATTTTGGAGATAAAATCAGACCTTTCAATTGCCCTCACAATCAACAGTATGAGAATTTTCGTATTTAAAATAGATAAGATATCATGTAGAAGCATTCTTTTGTTTATTGTTGCACATTCTTGCTCTGCATAAATTTCTTTTGAAATAAAAGAAGTCACAATATTATTTACCTCATGTAAGTGATTGGTTTTCATATTGCTTCTCCCGAATGAACACAAGTTATATTTTTTTCGATACGTCTGAATGAATCACAAGTTTGTACTTATAAAAAGACTCGTGATTGTACATTGAATTTTGTTCTCTCTCTTTGCTTCTTTTTCCTTTATTCTACTTCTGTGTTTCTCTGTTGGAGAATTTCTATTTCACAATCAATATGCACACAGCCGTTTCTAAGAAATATCTTACTTTTGCACCTAAGAGTGACTTGTTGCTCCCAACAAGGTTGAATCCAATTTAGGTGTATATGCATCTTTTGGTGTGTCATTGTGGTTTTCTTGAAGTGTTTGTGCAGTATTTTTGTTGTGTGTGTCATCTTTCTATTTCAAATCTCTTGTTTGAGATAAAATTGCTGAACTTCTTGCATTGTTGATTCAAAATTGTAAAATTATGACTACTCGAAAGAAAATATCAGTCTTATAATATGCTTTGACTTGGTGAAGTCGGTCTGATTGATTAACTACCTCTCCGGGAGCTGCATTCACAGGTGCAACAACATTCACGTATTTTGTTACATAATGAAAATAATAACCAAATGAAAGCTTCAAAAAATTGTGGGTAACTAGAAAATTTTGCTGCATTGAATTTTTTGTAGGACTGAAAAATTGTTTTTCACATGGAAAACAATTAGATTTCTATCTTCCTCCTTTACTTTAGCATCTGGAGA